TGAGCAAGTCAGAGGCCTTGGCCCAGCAGGAGCAACTCACCATGGCAGTGTAGAAGCTCAAGTCTTCCCACTAATGCCACGCTTGATGTTCTGTGTCTCAGAGCCATGGACATAGCAATTACTGATTAAACAGCACCTTAGGCTGGGAGAACTAGTGCAGTTTTACAGTGCGGGAGTTAGATGTACACTGATGTTCATTTTATAGATGGGATATTGAAACCAAGCAGAGATATGGGCAACAAAAGGTAGTATAGAGGCCAAGTTTGTGGAGTTGGCTCTTTTATCTACCCCTGGATATTTCAGAAAAATCTTGTTGAGCATTTGTTGCTAAGTTTGTTGAACATCCATAAATAGTCTAACTTGAGGGAGAAAAACTGGGCTAATGTCTTTGAAATGTATGATTCAGCTGTGCAGGTTTATGTCTTCTAGTGCATTTGTAGTGATAATCCCTTCTGCAGATGCATAGCCGGCTGGTGACTTTCTGAGTCTCCTTTCTCTTGACTTGAGTCATTTCCTTTCCAGTACAGTATGATGTTTTCTTGATCTTCCTGAAAAAATTTTAAGTAAGAAAAATACTTCTGGATATTTTGTCTGCTTTTTAGGGATTAGTGTTTGAGGAGGTTTGCAGCTGTTCAGCACATTCCTAAGGAATGCAGACCCATTTCTTTAAATGCCCAAGTATGACACAACCTGAGGCTCTCAGGCAGGGAAAGCAAAGACACTGTGCAAACAAATGATAGATGGAAAAGATATAAAGACAAATGTCAATCTCCTAACCAAACAGAGTTTCTTTGGCTCCATGGACCCAAATAAAATAAGGCTGCAAAGGTGCTAGAGCAGGAAACCACTCTAGCAGAGGCTTCCTATGCTCCCTATGAAATCACGTCTCATCGACTTGCTTATTTTCCAGCCTGAAGTGTGTTTCATCTTTGTTCATGTTGGCTGGGAAAATTGCCTGTACAGTATATTTGTGTTCCCTCTTCCCACACTCCCACACCTCTCCTGCCTTACCACTGTCCAAAAATAAGTAGGTGAATTAATTCAGACACCTCATTTGAAAGGAGGAATATGTCTGAGAAAGCACAGAAGCTCAGAAGACTCAAAATACTGTATGAAAAGGTACAGTTGTAGAGGAGACAGACAGCAAGTTCTAAAACCTTTTTATTCTTGAAGCCAGGCTCCTTTTTTAAAGTAAAAAGTCTGCACAACTTCCATGCATGAAATAGATTAAAGAACTGTTTTTGGTTTTGGCTTTTTTTTTTTTTTTGCTATTAAGTCTACTTTTAAGAACAAATTTATTAAGAGTACTTATTACAGAGTCAGTCAATGTAAACAGGCTGTTTAAGAACTAAAAACATTGAAATCAGAATTCTGAATAGGAGTTACAGTTTTGTATTAGGTGAAGTATCCAAGTTATTTCTAGTTTTGGTCTGGGTTGTTCACTATTGAGAAAATCCTGATTCACACAGATAAATTGTAATCATGGGTTCCCTTACAGATTATTTAGATGTTCAGATTTAGATGTGGTGATGTGTGCCTGTAATTCTAGCACTTGGAAGGCTGAGGCAGAAGACTTGCTACAAGTTTGAGGCCAGCTTGGCCTTTATAGTGAATTCAAGACCAGCCTGAACTACAAGAGACCCTGTCTCAAAAAACCAACCAGCCAACAAAAATTTTAGATATTTACAGGTTTTTTGTTTTCTTTTTTTGTTTGTTTTGAGACAGGGTCTCACTATGTAGTCCAGGCTAGCCTCAAACTTGTAATGATCCTCCTGCCTCAGGGATTATGGGAATGAATCACCATGCCTGGCCTAAAAATTTTAGATGTTTAAAAAATATTTTTTCCTGAAATTGAATGTCTAACATTGCCTACCAACTTTCCTCATCCTCCTTCATAAATATTAATTGGGTAAGCCCCAGTATGTGTAAAGTTTTCAGCAACTGATAATGAAGCAATGGTGTTAATTCTCAGGAGGCAGCCATGGTCTACCATGCACACAGCATAGGCTCTGAAGCCTTCTGTGACATGTAATGAACTTGACTGCTGTGTGACAAGAAGTTATAGGCTCACCTGTGCACCTTTATTCAAGGAAGCACACGTGGGGTTGGATTAAAAAACAAGCGTGTACAGAGCTCACCCGTTAGTACACCACCAGTAGCACACTGTTGACAAGTTCATCGCTCACAGCGACTCTCTGTGCCAGGGCTTGTGTACAGTGAGTCTCCCCCAGCCTCCTGGGAGACGTTATGGTGATGTCTAATGTGGGGATCCGGGCACCAAACTCTTTTCTTTGGGAGCTGCTCATTTGGATAGACGGTTTGCAGTTGTTTTAATTGAAATGTGGTTCTCTACTAATTTCAGAGTTTCTCAAAATGTAGTTTAAAAGTTCAAACCTAATGAAACCAGTGCTAACCATTCCCTGCTGTAAGGCTAGAAACAAATAAATATGGTAAAAGTACTTGTAGTACCTTAAAATAAGTTCTTGGTTAAATTTATTGGTAATAAGGCATTTTATTTTAAAGTGGTCCCACTTTTGCCTATTTTTTTCCTTCTTTTCTTTTCTAAACTGGGAGATGCTGTGAATGGGACCCAGATCGTCAGGCATGCTTGAGTCCTTGCTCTACCAGCGAGCTACAGGCCAACCCCCATGTATCCTCGTTATTAGCCCATATTTGTTTGCTTATCTTTTCCTTTGAGGGTGCCTGGGGACATATGCCTTGCATCTTTTTCTGTAGCCTTAGGCTGATTTTGCTTTTGCTGGTTGTTTTGCAACTTGCGGCATCTGTTTGTGAGCTAGCTGTCCATCCTTCCACTGAAGTTCTGTCTTCCTTCGTCTCCCACAGTACACTAGGACAACACCACTTCCAAAACCACGAACGCACCTGATGTTATACTGTGTTTATTTAAGACAAACGTTTACACATTTGTGGGCTTAAATTTTAGCATCATCTTTATGTGTAACATACTAGAGACCACCAACTCATATTCTCCCCTTAGAAGCAGATCGAATCTAATTGTAAATATAAGATCTGAGAGCTGTGCTTTTAAAGAGAAGTGTAGTGGCCTGGTACATTTCATGCTTACTGAGGATGTGGGTATCTTGCCAAGAGAAACCACTTGAGGAAATGTAAATTAGATTTTTTTGTAGAACATTACAATTAAAACTGATTTGAAATTAATTTGAAAGTTTCCTTCCAATGGAAACATCAAATAGCATTGAGCATATGTGCTTTAGTATCTCACCATTTTAGATTTAGGATTGTTTTCTGTTTAACTTTTTTTTTCAGATGTTAGAGGCTAATAAGGAAGTGAATTAATTACACATATGTTTCCCTCTTCACTAGTATATTTTTTAATTTCCGTAACAATCTTTTAATTTCCCCACAAAGGTAATGGACATCACGTTGCCACCATGATTGGCTTATAAGTGTTAGTGATTTTGTCTATAGGAATGTCTATAGCAATACCTTTGGCAGGGTGTAGGGCTTGGGGGACAAGTGTAGGACAATTTTACATGGATTGTAATAGTCATGGGCTTGAAGCAGCTTCTTAGATTGGCTAGACATGTAGTGATTTACTGGTCTTAGGTGTTCAAAAGCCCGTGTGCTATGCTGTAATTATTTGCTTATTACAGAATTTAAAAACTCCTCCAAGTTGAACTTCCAGCTTCACAAATCACAGGTGCCTGGACCCCTCCAGTACCAAATGGAGACAATGTAGGCTCAAGAACCAGGCCACTATCAGCTACTTCCTATGTATGATGAGTCTGATTGGAGGGAGAGTGGGGAAAGGGAAAAGGTGCAGGTTGAGATTCTTCTCAGTGGTTAAGAACACTCTCTTTGCAGTTCCATACCTGATTTTGAATCCCAGCATTGCCACCTTTTTGCTGTGTGTCCCAGAGGAAGGTGTTTAACATTTCTTTGGTCCACCTTTCCTCATCTTTCAAATGTGGCTAACAGCACTCATCTCATTGGATAGTTGTGGGGCTTCAGTTAATGGACTTGTGCAAAGGCCCCAGCCATGTGCCATGCACACAGTATCCCTTGATAAATAGTACTGTAATGATTCCTACTTTGTGTCAGTCTTGGAAGAAATCAAAATTCCAGGTGCAGAACTTTCTGCTATTTAAATTAGTACTGTGAATTGAGAAGATAATTCTTTCAGATCACATTGTTTTCATTTAAAATGAGTATCTGAAAGGTTAGCACTTTTGTCTCTCTCAAGCCGTAAATGTTTTAAGAATACATACACTATATTCAGATATGGTTCATGTTCTCAGTTATATGAAATATGAGACTGTTTTAGTCAATGAAATCAAAACTTCTTAGTTGGGTTCCGTAGAACTGATCTTTTCAGTGACTTTTTAAAGGCAGATGTCACCAAACTTGCCTTCATTGATTCTTAAATAGATAAACTTTGGGGGATTAGTCTCTAATGCTCTAGAAATTTTTGTCTCTAGATAAAATCTGTACCTTGTGTTTCTAACCCTAGAGATAAGCCAAATGACCTAATGGCTGAGGAATGGACTTTGGAGTCAGACAACCTGTTCTAGTTAGGCAATGCAGAACTATAATTCTAGGACCTAATTCCCTGTTCCTGTGTGACTCCTTACCAGCTACACACAAATTAAAACTCTTATGAACTTCAGTTTTTTAATCAGTAATAAGGCAATAATGGTAGTTTTTTCATTACAATGAAATGATGATGCTTAAATGTGATAATACATTTAAAGTCTGAGTTCCCAGGACATAGTAGATACTTAGCAAATAATCTTTCTCCTCCTCCTCTTCTTTCCCTCTCTTCTTATTCTTATTTTTTCCTGTTTTCTCCACTAATTTTTAGAAAAGAAAAATATGTAGTAATCAGGCTTTAGGGAAGATATCCTCATTTCTGGTTATGCTTTGATTGCTGTGATTTTTGTGATGTGGACTCTAATTGTAGATGTTGGCCCTGGCTGCTTACCAGTGTTGATTTTATTTTTCTTGCTGTTTCTCTGCAGGAAAGATCAGAATGTTCTCTCTCCAGTCAACTGTTGGAATCTCCTCTTAAACCAGGTGAAACGGGAGAGCAGGGACCACACCACCCTAAGTGATATCTACCTGAATAATATAATTCCTCGATTTGTCCAAGTCAGCGAGGACTCAGGAAGGCTCTTTAAAAAGGTATGTAGATATTGCTCTAGTGAAGCAGTGATAGTCTTTTAAATAAAAGAATAGGTATCTTACTGGCTTTGTGACAGGCTTTCCACTGGCCCTTTTCTACTCATATTCATGAGAAAAGAATATTTGAATGAGCATTCTTTTCTTCCTCTCTGACATGAATTAGTTTTAGCCCTTGGAAAGTAACCATTTGCAAGGTACAACTCTAGGGCTGGTGCCATTATTTATAACCTACAGATTTCAATGACTATTTTGGTGGTTCCTTCAAGTAATTTCCAAAGCTTTCGGGGGATTCAGGGAAATTGAGTATTACGTCTTGTTTTCTTTTTCTAGTTCATTTAGCAAACTCATGTATGTTTATATTTTTGGTTAGGTCTCTTTCTAGGTTATCATCTTGGCCAAGATGGATTCAAGAATGTGGCTATTCTTTGCATGCTGTATCTTTCCTATGGGTCCTTCACTGCTTTCTGAAGCTCAGTTGTTACCACAATTCCTTGGGCGTTGATTGAGCAGTTTGACCAAGGAGAAAATAAAAATAGTTGCAATAATCTTAAGGAATTTCTGCCATTCACCTTTCCTGTTAGTGGTAGAACAAGCCTCTTGGAAAGTCCAGGAACCTCTTTTCTTGCACTCTTAGCCATTTATGGAGCTGTTTATTCATGAGGTTTAGTTACAAATGGTGGCACAAGCCCCACCCATTACACGTAATAAACCATGCCTGACACTCAGTCTCTGACATCCCCAAAAGGCTTTCCAGAAAATGAATAAACTTCCCATAAATTGAAGGGAGAAAGAGGATATATATATATAGAATTCATTGGTTTCTAGTGGCCAGAATCCAATGTTTATATTTGCGGCTGGGAGAGAAAAGACTCACAACTAGGAGTGTCATCAGTGCAGCTGTAACTCTTCATCAGTTTTCTAACCCTTATTGTCATTTTTCTAGATTTTACCAGGTTTGGAATTAGTATTCTGTCCCTTCTGTTTTCACCAGCATGAAAAAAAGAATTGAGTTATAACTCCTAGAATGTACTATGGACTGATTCATGAAGGGGTTTTCCTCGTGTCTCAAGAAATGGAGTACTGAGGGTCCAATCATCTGAGAAAAGAGCACACTGGCTGCCCTGTGGCTGGAGCCACACTTCATTTGGGGATAAGGGTGCTTTATACCGTCTGCATAGTTTCTAGCATCTGCTCTTTCTTGTTATTGATTTGAATTCTTGTGCAACACTTGGTGATGTGTGTATGACTAAAATTAAAATCTATTGAGGCAAAATCTCAACAGTAATTGGTTACCACTTCAGCTTCTCTGTGTGACCTTCATAGCTGCTCAGACTGTCTCAAGCAGGAAACGGATAGGCAAGCAGTTTGTGCCTCTGCATTCTCTGTTCTGAGAAAACACTTTGGCAAGAGATGTTCACCTAGCTTGACTTCACGTAATCTGTCACCTCACTTCTCCTACTCTTAGAAGCTTAGACAGGGTCCATGCTGAGAAAGTCTAGTTTCTCCAGCTCTCAGAGATGTCTGTGGTGAAGGCAGCCAGACATCAAAGCAGGTGCCCAGCCACATTTCACCGGAGGCCTCCAGGTATGATGCACCTGCGAGGCACAGGGCCTGTCACTCCAGAAGGCAAATCTGCCCACAAATGATATTTCAATGGTGGTATTAAGGCTAACCTTCATAAATTGTGCCCTTTTATGCTACAGGTACAAGAGAGACTTTCTTATATAGGAGTGTTTAAGTATTTCACAAGACTCTTCAGATATTTCATTGAAGAAAAGTACACTCAGCTCAGTGCATTTTCACAGTGAACCCAGCCATGTAACCAGTTCCTGGATAAGAAACAAAACATTTTAGTACCTTAGAAGACCTCCCAATGTTGCCTTCTAGCCAGCCCCCTTCTAAGCCTGTAAGGATAACCACTGTTCGGGCTTTTCATAATGGTGGTTAGTTTTGCTTCATTTCATACTTTAAGTAGAATCATACAGTTTATATTCTTTGGGGCCTTGTTTCTCTCACAATGTTACATTTGTGAGTTTATTCATAGTATTGTACATAATTGCAGGTTATAGGACTTTCACTTGATCTTTATAACTTTGTTTCAATTAGATTGTAGTTGATTAGAGAGATACACAGGATTGTTGAGTGGCCAACATTTACTATCCCACAAAGTGAATAATCACTTTCCTCTCTCCCTTGGGATCCCAATATACACAAAGAACTTTAAATAAACAGATTCATTCTGTTTTGGCTGGGTAAAAACAGTTCTGCTTTCTAGTAAAAGGCACAGAAACATTCTCCATACCCCAGTTTTTCAATCTTTTTTGTTTAGAGTTTGTTGTACATGATAAATTAGAATCCCACTGGTTAAGATGTCCTCGTCAGATTGGAGACCTTAGAAATGCTCCTAGCCACCCAGTCATTTTTCTATTGTTGTTTGGTTTGTTTGTTTGTTTATTTATTTTTGTTTTGGTATTTGGTTTTTTGAGACAGAGTCTCCCTATGTAGTCTAGGCTGACCTCAAACTCCTAGCGATCCTCCTGCCTCAGCCTTCTGGGTGCTGGGATTACAGGTGTGTGTCCCTACACCCAGTACCCTATCAGTTATTTGAAGCTTCTTGGGGGCTTGCTTTGTACTATCAAAGCAAAGGCCTTTTCCAAGTGGCCCTTTCTGTTGGGCCTAGCTCTATTAGCTCTGAGACCATGGGCAGTGACTTCTTTGAGTGTCTCAGTTCCCTAAACGTAAAAGAAAAAAGTTTGGGCTCAATGATTTCATGACACTTTCTAGATACAATATAATACAATTCTGTGGTGACCAGCCTACAATAGAGGCTTCTTCTAGTTGCTGTATAAACTTTGTTAAATTTTGTTAGATAAATTGCAGCGCCAAAGATAAGGACAAGCCAGAGTGAGATAAGGGTGTGGAGAGGGCTAGTTTAAGCAATTGAAGATCAGATTTCTTGAGGAATGAAGAATTGTTTCAGATGCTGTTATCTAAAATGATCAGCAACCATGAAATGCCAAACTGTATTCAAGTGTATAAAATAAGTGTATGTTTTCTTGTACCAGTAGGTTTGATTCTAGCAGCAAAAGGAAAATCCATTTCTTTGGAGACAGAGGCTTCAAAAAAGATAGCTTTATTTCTGTCTTGACTGTGGACATCTGTGCTTTATGTTAATTTTAATCTATAAAATTCACTGGTAAAGTTATGAGCGTGATAAGCCAACATTTTTAAATACTTATGTGCCAGGTATTGTATGAAATACTTTATATGCATATGTTCCTTAATCCTTCCAATAATTCTATAAGCTTGTTACTGTTATTATCACTTTTTTGTGAAGGAGGAAGCTGAGGTTGAAGGAGGAAACTGAGGTTGAAGGAGGTTAGGCAAAATTTGGTAGGGCTAGTGTTTCAGTCATCTGGCCTTAGCATTGGAGGTATGCAGGAAAGAGGCTATTCCAGGTTTTCTTACCCTTTTCCATTGAAGCCAGATATTTCACTGAGTTGTAGAATTAACCTAACCTTGTCTTTTGCATTTGACTTCAAAAGGTGTGGCGATGCTAAACACTAACACTGGATTATTCTCTTACCTGGTGTTGGGACAAGCAGCTGGGAGTTGCCTTGAAACAGGGCAGCATGTTTTTCTCCCCAGGGCCAGAATCTCCAGTAAGAGGGAAACAAAGACCCATTAAATGTGAGAACTGGCCAAAAATCTGGCTCACAGCTAATTCAGCTAATTTGGGGTTGTCAGGGTGGCTGCACAATTGGCCCCTCTATGCTCCTGAACTCCCTTAAGGGGTGCTCCCTGCTGGCCCTCTGGTTTGTGGTTGTGCCTGCTGGGACATATTTCACATTTTGCATGAGGCCCTGTTGGAGATTCCTTTAGCTAAATATAACATCTGGAGAAAGTAGCCTCCTGTCCACAGCTTAGAAACAGACCCACTTTGCCTAGGAGTCCAGGGAAAATTGAGCCTGTTCAGTGCTTCTAACATCTCCTTTCGTGTAATGAAAGCTCAGTTTGTCTGACCCCTGTTGGAACCAAGGTTTAGACAAATATTATTACTGCCACCTTCATTCGTTTAATGTGGTGGCTTCAGAAACGGTGACCAAACACTGCCAAGTCTGACTGCCATGTCCATGTTGTCTCTATGAGAGGCGTGTTCTAAAAGAATCTCACTAAGAACAGAAATAATTTTCCCCACTTGATCAGATTAAAGTGAAGTTAACTTGAGTGTGTTCCTTCTCACAAAGGAGGCCAGTCCTTTTCTCTCTTCCCTTTTCACCTTGATGGAACACACTGAAAGGGCCTCTGACTTTGCTTTTTCAACTTACTGTTTCAGCCCTTGACAGCTGCTCACACTTAAGATTGGGAGCGGGTCAGTTCAGACAGGCCAAGGGGTCTCAGCTGCATCCTTGCTTTTGCAGTATTCCACTTTCCTGTATTTCTTCCCTACCTTGAGCTCTGTAAGTTTCTCTGGCAGAAACTCAGGTTAAATTGAGACAGCTAGGTCAGGTTCCCCATAGACCAGTAGTATCAACTTTGCCTGTGCCTGAAAGTTACTTGGAGAATTTTTAAAAATCTTCGTGACCTTGAATAAACAAAGATCACAAGGATATAAAAAGCATGGATCATAAAAGGAAAAAAAAAGGTAAATGAGAAATGAGACATCATCAAGTTGGGAACTTTTGTTATTGAAAGGATATTGTTAAGAAAATGAAAAATGAGCCATAATAGACTACGAAAAAATATTTGCAATGCAGGTGTCTCAGTCCTTTTTGCATTTATGTAACAGAATAGCTGAGACTTGCCTATAAAGAGTGAAGATTTGAATCTTTTAATTTTTCTTTGAGGAAGAGAGGTTTAATTTGGCTCCTGAAGGTTTATTTGTTAACAGTTTTGGAGACAGAGAAGTCCAAGGTCGAGGGGCTCACGTGGAGCTCAGGCCTTGCTGGATCATAACATAGTAGACGGCAAGCATGGACCACAGAGAGAAGGGAAGCACA